TTTCTACCAGGAGGAGGCTGGATCCAATGTGTAGGAAAATCAAGAGGGTGACATAGTATATATTGTCACTTTGATCTAAGCAAAAGACATATCTACTACTCCTTCCTTATGGATTTATGGATAGAGACACATGAATGTTGAGCCAAGTCATGGCTTGAGAGTAAATTCCTCAGAATTATAGCTTTAGCCTGAATTTGTAAGTAGCCCTCTAGAGACTGAATCTATTGTCAGAATTTGAGAGGAAAATGAATTTGGTCCCTTGATGTCAGGACAACCCAACTAATTCACATGCATGGCTCTGTGAATCACTATGTTTTTTTCCCGTAAAAATTTAAGCCAAGAGGCTTTACTGGGAAAATTCTGTGCCTATTCAATAGCTAACAACATGCTTATACAAGTAGCCTGTTGAGACAAGTATGATCTCTTTAGCTTAATGAAGATGCAGCCAGTTGGGTCGTGTAGCTATCAAACTCCACCCTTCCATCCACATGGCTCTCCACCACTTGAACTATGGTCACAGCTGTTTACTTCCTCACTTCCCAGCCAGGACCCATTTACACTGCACGTTTTACCTGGTGCTTCCATCTGGAAAGTCCAAGCCATACTGCATTCTACTTGTGGGAATGGAAGGTTCCTGCTCCCAGCCCAGCAGCCTGCGGGACAGACATGCAGCAGAACAATACTTCAGACAGTGCTGATGGCACTGAGCACAGCTGGAGGAACCCTAGCCTTCCTGACAGTTGTTTCTCTTCTTGCTCAGACTCTGGTCCCAGCCTCGGAGCGGGTCTCAGGCAGCATAAACAGCATGAATCAGATGTAGTCAAATCAGGAGACAGCTCAGCTTTGCAAACAGACGCATGAAGGCTGGGTGGATGCCAGGGTGGGCAGCCACACACAGCAGACAATCTCCTTGACGCAACGCCTGCCCTGCTGTGAGCAGGGGAGCTGCTGGCCACTGCAAGTCTGCAACTGCAAAAGCCCCATCCCACTGTGGGGACATTCCATGGCCCCCTGAGCTCAGCCCCACAGCAGCCCTCACCCTGGCTGGTCCCAGCCTTAGGTTTGTCCTGTCAGCCCCACTGCCTGAACCAGGAGGATGCTTACACAGCATCTCACTGCCCCTCTGCAACACGTGTGTCCCTGCACGTGGCACTTGCTCCAATTTCCCTTTGACATCCCTGAAGGTGGCAGAGCACACCAGCTAAATAAACAGGTTGCTCTGCTCATAAGTGCCTTTTTCACATTGGCTGGCCGACTTTCCAAACCCTATAAATATCAGATTAGTACCATGTCCTCTGAAAGCCTAAAGTCAGGCTCTGAGCCAGGCAGCTACAGAGCTGCTCTCCTTTTAAATCCGTAACACAGAAACAACTTATTCCATTAGATCTGAAGTGGGAAAACTGGCTGGAAAACATAAATACTAATTTCTGTCAATTTGATTATCTTAAACGGGTTATTTAATATTTTTAATGGAACATCATTTAATTGCTGCTCTTGGGTACTCTGTAACTGTTGGAAACTCTGATCTCAGTGCTTACTTCAGTGAAAGATTGCCAACAGACACGAAGGGCTCACATTTTAAACTCCTGCGTAGGAGAACAGTTGGGACTATTTTGCCCACGTTTCTCTGCTGGCCAGCTCTCATTTCCCAGTTACAGTGTTAAGAAACACATCAATGATAGCATCTACCATAACTGTACGAGGTGAATTTCTGCAGGCTGTTTCTGAGGATGTTCAGTGCAAATCCTACCACAGAACCTCCTCAAAAATTCAGACTGCTTCAAGATCATGAGCTGCTGGGATTGTACAGCTAGCACAGTGAGCTTCGGGAAAAAGGTCCCAGCCACACAGTTGTATCAGAACCCTGAGGCCACTGATGGGCTTAGTCAGCCCCACCTGGGACCCCCCACACCTGCTGCCTATGGGCTGGGGCCCTATTTAAGCTCAGCCTTGAGTTTCCTGCTTTTCTTTGAGCTGTGCTGTAAGTGTGGTCTTGTATCTCTCCCTCTTTTCTGGATAGCACGTGTACCTATGTTACAGGTAGGTCTGTTTCTGCCTTGTTTGCGAGATAGGCCTTGGGTTAATATTGAGGTTTTGTTACTAGTTTCATTCTTGCTGCTCTCTGGCAGTTTGTCCTGGCACAGACAGACTGTGAGGGTCACCAGCTATTGCTGTACTGGTGAAGGAGAAGGTATTGTTTCCCCCCTTGAATTGCATGCAGTCAAACTTGCAAAAAAAAAAAAAAAAAAAAAAAATTCATCTATGAAAATCCTAAAAGTTGTTTTTGTGCTCTGTATGAGTGGTCAAACTAGGAAGTCTCATCCAACAACCTCTTCCATGTACGTGTGCCTGTTAAGGTGTGTAAAACCATCATCAGCCTCCTCTTCTTCAAATAGAATCTTGGAATTTCAAGAAGTGCGTTTTTATTTATAGTCTTAGTACATTTTCTGACCCAAATCCATAAATACAAGGAGCAAGAGCACTGTGTTTCAAATTGTTTACGGGATGGCATTATGTTCCCACTGGACTGCAGTGGTGAGTCAGCATGGCTGTTTAGCTCTCGCTGTTCTCAAAGGTCTTTTCCAGCATTTGGGTCAGAGTGCACTTGCCAAGGGTCAGCTGCTTTGATTTCATGTTTGAAGAGGTTACTTTACATGTTGGTTTCCTGATAGCATAAAGAGCTCTCCACCAGATTGCCCTGTCAGAACAAGCCCTTTACAACAAGTTGTCGCTGTATCCAGGCATTTGAAACTGATGTCTTAATTTCCCAAGATCATGAGATTTATGTTATCCTTCTTTAAAAATATACAGAAGTTTTTGTGTTTTTTTTTTTAAGCCTAAGTGTCTACATCATGTTCTGGTTTGTGGATTTACTGTGGAAGCAGAGATTCAGACTGCAGTTTCAAACTTATGCATAATTGTTAGGGTGAGAAATTTTCTGATATGAAAGCTTTTCTGTAAGAAAAGCACCGGATATTGTGAGACTTGATGTAGCGATGCATGGATAGTTAAGTTGCCTTTATTCTCTTTTAGTTGGTGTTTATCAGCAAGCCTGGTTCTCCGTAGCCCAACATCAGCTGTGTTAGTGCATGAGCTAGCACTGCCTTTTTGCCTTAGTGTACAGCTGGGGGTTGTGATAGCAGGACTGGGGTGTCCTGCTGCCTCTGCCCTTGGGGAGCTGCTCGTTTCTCTCCTTCCTCAGCTTTTTGCAGAAAGTTCTTTCTCTAAAAAGACTAGCATTGTTTATGGGCTGCTTGCTCACAGCCTGTTCTCATTTACAGCTAAGGTTCCTGGAAGGCCATTACCCACAGGGTTCCCTTCTCTTTATTTTTCTGCCTGGGTGGCTGTCAACATGGTTAAGGGCTGGAGTGACTTTAAATCCTGATGGAAGCTAAAAAAAAAAAAAGGCTCATGTTCTAGCCAACCTCACGTGGTCCTGCAAGACCCCTTGTCATTCCCAGACCATTTTTGCCACTGCTGATGAGCAGGCTGTTAGCTGGAAAGGAGGGAGCAGTTTGTTACTTGTTGCCACTGGATACCAAGAGCAGGGTACCAATTTTAACTGCAGTCAGAGGGCAGGATGCAGCACTTTTAAATCAATCAGGGTACTCAGGCTGCAGAAAGACCCCTCCAGGGACATGGCTTGGCTTGTTGGTACTGATGGCATGCTTTGTGAGAGCTGAGGAGCTGCCAGGACAGGCTTTCTTAAGATCCATGTAAACAACTCAATTATTACAAATATACAACTACAGCCCGCAGGCACTGATACTCTGCCTAACAGCCCCACCTAATTTTCCCCTCTGGACTACATGCAGCACTATAAGTAGTTCTGGCACCTGCTGAAGAGTGTTTCTCTCCCTGAAACCAGACACCAGCAGTGGTTAATTAGCACGTCCCAGATTGGCACAGCTTAATACAGCTTCACTGAAGCCTATGAAGTTTCATGGAATTTTTCCTGCCCTGGTTCTGAGTCATTAATAGGTACAGTTCTGACTATTTTTACGCTTTTCAAATTATTTTGTTAGATTACAGAAGCAATTATCAGTCCAATTTTTTTTTGTCCTGGTTTGGAGGAAAAAAGCTTTCTGTTACAGCAAGTTATCAGCAGAGTCTTTTTTTATTGTGCTTGTTCTATGTGGGTATAACCAAACTGATCCACAAGTTTGATTGTGGGAGAGCTAGCTCTCACAGAGCCCTGTTTCTGGGACTGTTTCTTTCTGTCTAGAGACAGTAGAATGTGTACACTGCTGTGTAAACTGCAAATCCTGCAGTTTGTATACACATGCATAGAATAGCTGCTTTTGATATACAGCTGAAATATAAAATGCTGTAGTGAGGCTTTTCTTGATGCTTGGAGAAGTGGATCCCTGGAGAAGTGACTGCTGTATACGTGAGCCAAGCAGGTGAAGCTGTGATATGATGAGAGTGGGAGAAGTAGCTGAAGCCAAGATGTGAGCAGACCTTGAGTTCAGAGAAGTCGTAGAAGTAGCAAGTCAGGGATTCTATCTGTGGGACTGCTGGATTTGGACATTGCCAAACAGAAGAATCAAGCACCCATGCAATACGAATGACCAGATTTGAATGACCAGATTCCTGCTAAAGTGTGCTTGCTCAGCAAGCAGTAAAATGTTACCTTTGCACTGCTTTGCAGCCTGGAAATGAAGCCCTGTCTGAAGCAGAAGTCTTGAGCAGGAGCAGATGTGCTGCTGCACTGTAGGTGCCTGTATTCCATGGCTGTGAGTTCCAGCAGCAATGCTGCTGCTTTCTGGCTGATCTGAAATGTCCAGCCATATATGCACCTTGCACTGTTGTAGAGTCTACCTCCCTATGAAAACTATCAAAGCTTTCAAGCTCTGAAGGTTTTTGCTATGTTAGAAGCACTAACTTGCCTTGTAGATTAAGAGCTAATAACTTAAAATAGTGGAATGGTACTTCTAAGAATGGTTACTGCAGGATACCTCACTCAGATCAGTGCCAGTTTGTGTGCGTGTGCAAAACAAGCAACAAACACAGCTTTGTATCAAAATAGTTTATTAAAAACAGTAAGACTTCACTGAAGCTTGCTATCTCAAACAGAATTATGACATATTGCAGTATTCAACACAATCATAATCCATATATAAATATAATACTGTATAGATCCTGTTCACCATGGCTGGGCTTTGCCCTCTGCCCAGCCTTGTGCAGCCCTGCTGCCCTGCCCAGCCCTGCAGGCTGAGCTGCACAGCCCATTCCTCCTGGAGCAGAACTGCCTGTCCCCTCCTTGCACAGCAGTGAGGATGGAAGCAGTGCCTGCAAACCACACAAACCCAGTATATCTCTTTGCAGCCCATGTCAGCTTAAACAAATGGTGTTGAAACACCAAGGAACTGATGACAGCAGTACTGGTTGATGTTCAGGAAAAAACCCAGAATCTATACATGACTCATGTTCCCAGCACTGCTCAACTGCACAGACTTGTGCTTCTGCTTGCAGAAGGGCAGCTCTGTGCTGACCTGCTGTACAACACCACGGCTGTGACAAGGAGTGTGTCACATGGCACAGCTCAGTTTGATGCATAGAGGCACCTTTACTGCAGCACTCCAAGAAGAGCATCACCAGCCTGGTGCACTCCTGCCAGCCACAAATGCCTTCCAACAGTGTCCTTTGCCACCAGCTTTGCACCAAGTCAGTATCAGTCCTTAAGCTGTGGCAAACCAACTGAGTGCTCCCATCTCAGTCTCTCAGGTCAGGTTGCTGCCAAGCCAGCTCGGTTCCTTGGTAGCTGAGAGGCATCTCCTTGCTCTGCACTCATGTCCCCTGGGCAGCTCTGGTGATGGGAGGCTTCTTGCACAGCTCCTGATAGAACTCCGATTCCAGAAACCGTGGGTATGAATTGTTCTCCATGAGGCTGTAAACTCTTTTCTGTGCAGCACTGAAGCAGGTGTGTGTGGCTTCCTGGAGGTTCTGTGCTATCATGTTCTTGGTCTGGAAGTCAATGTTTATCTGAAATGCAAAGAAAGGATGCTTACTTTCTGAGAACTGAATCCCAACAAGCACAGCACTGCTGAGGAGGATGAGAGTCCTTTTGCTTCAGGGCTAAATTGGTGTAGTTTCTTTTAAACCATTTCTTTATTATAAAAATTTGGAGTAACTCAGGTATGCCGTATTTTGGTGCCAAACCCAAATGTTACAGATGTTTGACAAGGCTGATTTTTCTTCCCTCCTTCCCCCCAGCTAAAATGGAAACTGAAATACAATTTGTGCCATTTTCCACCTTGGTGGAAAGAAGGCATCCAGGGAAGAGTTGTGCACAATGCATTTGTGGCACCTGTATCTTACAAGTTCAGAGAAATGAAGTGGGGCTAAAGACACACAACAGGGCAACGCTTCTGTGCTTTCCTTACCTCCTTGGGAGCCTCCTTTTCAATGAAGTCATTGTAGATCTTCTTTGCTTTCAGTGTCAGCTTCTGAGGGGATTTGGTTTTCTTGAAGTCCTCACATGCCAGCCAGAACTCGATGTTCTCTTCACAGAACTCAGACTTCAGAAAAGCTCGGAAAGCAGCAACACCATCTAGGGAAAGGAGGGGGGGAAAAGAAAAGCAAACCACATCAATTAAGTATTCCAGGCATCTTGAATTTACCAATTTGTCACATCTGTTCCTAGCAAAATATTTTGCTGTAGTTCTGGTCCCTTCTGAAATGTCAAGGCAATAAGAAACCTACATTGCAAGCAAATTAACCCTAACAGCTTGACAGGCTTCAAGTCAGCCAATTTTATGTGAACACAAAACTGAAAGCTGTTTCCAGTCACTGTGTACCCTTATGACACCTGTAGATATGCTACATAAGATCTCTAGATGGGATCGTCCTCATTAACCTTTATGCTGGAGCAAATACTCCTGACAGCACAACAAACCCCTGGAACACTTTTGCAATGGAAAGGATGACTCAGAAGTTCAATGAGCAAATGGCAATATCACCTCTTAGTCTTTATTGCAGTGCTGTTGAGTGCTTTTTTCCAGCAAAAAATCCTCCCCATAAAAAGAAATAAAGATCAGTGGACTTCTGCATCGCAGAATCCTTCTCGAATTATAAGAATGGATTTGTCTTGTATAGAGAGCAAGTGAAAAACAGTGCTTGGCACTTTTGGCAAAACCAGGCTGAATAGGTAAAGTCTACAGCTGCAATACTCCACAGTGGGGAGTTTTAATAGTTTTAATATTACTTTATAGAGAAAGGTACAGCAGTGACACGCAGGGAAGCGATCGCTAAACGACACCAGGTTCTCCCCTGCTTTGTTCTTAACCACTACGGCCTGAAGACCAACTTACATTTGTTAGCCAGCAGTTCATCGAAGGCTTCTGACCACAGCCGGGCTTCCTCGGGGGAAGGTCTGTGTGAGGCAGGGAGAGAACAGAACGTGAGAACACTGCTCGAGGTTTGCTGCTTATTTTGTGCAGCACTTGAGTTATCTACTGCCATAACTCACCTGAAGTACGTGTGGTGTTTGCTCGCTTTATTGGACTTCATTTTGCTAGAACGGGAAGAGTTCTGCAGGAAATAACTCAGCTTCTTCTTCCAGTCTTTAATGCTGAAAGAACAAAGACGCTCATTTACAACGAAGCCCTCACGCACCGACCTCACCCCGTTCCCGAGAGCCGCCCTCAGGCTGCGAGCAGAAGAGAGAAGCCCTTCCGTTCGCCACCACTCACATGGTGCGCTTCATCATCCTGCCCTTGTCCGCCTCGTCCAGCTCCGCGCGCCGCCGGCTGCCCCGCTCCATCCGCCCGCCGTCCTGCGGCAGCGAAACGAACACCGCGCTCTGCATCGCCCCGCTGGCCGCCCGGCTGCCGCGCGCCCCATATAGAGCCCGCGCCCCGCCCCGCGCCCCGCCCCGCATGGCGAGGCCTTTCCATATTGATTTATTCTTTTTTTTTTTTTTTCCTTTCCCACCCCCAGAGCTACTTTTCGCTTTACTCTTTTCTTCCTCCCTTCCCCCCCCGTCCCCGTCCTCTTTTATTTTTAAATAACTATTTTCTTTCATTCTCTCTCTTTTAAAAACTGTTTCTCCGTTCTATTTTTAAACCTCTTGCTCTTCGGTTGTTCCTCACACCCCTCCCTAGGCGCCGTC